GGGAGCAGGATAGTCACTGAGCTAGGGAAGAACATCCCAGGCAGAGGGAGGAGTAATGAGAAGCCCCCATTGGTGTCAGGACTTAGTCCATTTTCTACATAGAAACCAAAGTGAGCTTTTTACAAATTGGAACTTGTCGCTGCCCTGCTTCGTAGCTCTGTGACCTTGAGCAAGACAATCAAACCGCTTGAACTTTACAAGCTCCATCTATAAAATGCAGTCCATCATCCTTCACAGAGCTGTTTTTGCGAGGAAATAGGTCAGTAACGTAGCGTGGAACCAGGGTACAGAGTAAGTGCTGAAAAACATTGCCTATTCATATTATTAGCTGTTTTTTACACATAAGAAACTATCTTGCTCGTCCAAGTTCAAGTAAGTAGTGGACGCAAGCTGTGAACTAGGTCTGATTCTGGAAGGCGCTGACACCCCAGGGCTCTGATGTGTATAGATCGGTTGTCCCAGACTCTACTCCACCCACCAGCCTAGAGCACACCATTCAACTCTGCTTCCTTCTGCCTTCCTGTTGGGCATGGCGTCCAGCCTGGGAGAGGCAGAGGGCCAGCCTGGCAGTCTGGCCCGGTTTGCTATGCCCAGCACCCACAACTTCCTGTCCTTTCAGAGAATGGGAACCGCTATGAGGGCTACTGGAAGCGAGGCTTGAAGAACGGGTCGGGGCGTTTCTTCCACCTGGACCACGGTCAGCTGTTTGAAGGCTTCTGGGTGGACGACGTGGCCAAGTGTGGCACGATGACGGACTTTGGCCGAGATGAGGCCCCTGAGCCCACACAGTTTCCCATTCCTGAGGTGGGCAGCTCTCACCAGATCCCTCTGGCCAAACCAGAAAGAGACAAAAAACAGCACCCCCCAGCCACACCCAGCCCAGCCCAGCCCAGCTCAGCTCAGCCAGGGAACAGACGAGGTTTTGTTTTCAGTCAGGGCATCTCCAGGGAGGCAGGTAGCACCCCGCAAAGGAAGCAGCACTGCCTCCCACCGAGGTGGGCAGCAGCGCCTCCAAGGCAGGCAGCACCCTCAGAAGCAGGCGGCACCTCATAAAACTGGCAGCCTGGGACTTCCATGCTCCTCTAACCAACCCCTGTTGCTTCCCTCCAGGTCAAAGTTCTAGACCCTGACGGCCTGCTGGAGGAAGCCTTGGCCATGTTCAGGAAGACACAGGAAGAAGGAGATTGATGCCAGGTGAAGGAGTAGGCATGCTGGTCACCCTCTATGCGGATGAGGCAGCTCCTGGGGTCTCCTTCGGCCAAGGGGCTCAGGGGCATAATCGGAGAGGGTAGGTTTCTTGTCTCCTGCAGTCTAGCTGATCCTTTTCAGTTCCTTTCCTTCAAAACTCATTTCCCTGAAGACCAGTTCATTCAATCTTGCCCAAGTTTTCCCATTTGTGCCCTGAGCTTATTGGAAGGAATCTTGCTTGGAGTCAGGTGGCCGGCTCACCCCTGAATGCCCTCGAGGAAGGTGGTTTGCCTCAGGCCTCCACTTGCACATCTGCCCAGTGGGCCCCATCCAGTCCTAGCCCCTCCTGGTGTGGGTGTGAGTGGGGTTCGAGGAGCGGGCGTTGTATAGTGTCTTTGAAACGCCAGCTCCCACCAACCCCTCGCTCCTGCAGAGAGAATGCCACAGCTGCAGGAGAAAGTCAAGCCTAAGTCACCCAACTGCTCAGACTGGTGCAGCTCCTGCGGGAGGAGTGAGTGGTGACTCCGGGCACACCCTTGGCTCCCTCAGAGGGCACCTTGTTCCTCCCAGCGTTGGACCATTCTTTGCCGTAGGAGGCCAGTGCTTCTCTCTCTAGCTGGCCTTGGAAACCCTCTTGCTGTGGCCTCCATCCTAGGACCCCATCCCTGAGTGCATGAGAATAAAGGAGAATCTGGTGGCATTAGCCGGTGGCCTGTGGCATGAGGTTTGGGGTGGGGCAGGGGAGATTTGGGAGAGATTTTAAGTAGAGAAGAGGAAAGACGTCCCCATGGGCTGCACAGACTGACCTTGGGGGAAGAGACAGGAGGTGTCTCCAGGTCTCTGAGCTCTGAGATGCTCCAGAGGGAAAGAATCTATCTGGTCACATTTGTCATTAAGATTTGGGGTTAAAACCTGACCTGGCTTCTTGGCCTAACAGGAGGACTCTCAATCTTGGAATCCCGTGGGAACTTTAAAAGCTATAGACTAGGTCCCACGCCCAGAGTTTCACATGTCTGGGGTGAGGCCAGGGCCTTCAGAAGATTCCCCAGGTGATTCTAATGTGCAGCCAGGGCCAAGAACCCCTGACTTATTGGATTTGTGACCCTTAGCAAGTGACCTCCATGTCCCATCTATAAAATGGAACTTAAAGAGATCTCACAGGGATGTTTGAGGATTTGCTAGCAGATGTAATCATAATGAATATAACATGTATTGAGGTTAATTGTGAAGCAGACATCTGGGAAGGGCTGTGCATAATTCTAATCTAGACAACATTCCTGCAAGATAAGAGGGCCTCTTATGTAAGAGTGTGAGCTCTGCAGTCAGTCTACCTGGATGTGAATCCCTTGCGATTTATTTATTAGCTGTGTGTTCTTGGGTACCTCACTCAACCTCTCTGTCCTCTAGCTTTCCTCCCCTCTGATACAAGACAATAACGGTACTAACACCTAGCGTTGTTGTGGCTACTGCGAGGGTCAACTGAGGTGTGGTTCTAATCCGAGGATGATTTCCTGTCCCCTTCTTCCCTGGGGACATGTGGGATGTCTGGAAACACTTTTGGTGGTGACGGCCATCAGGGAAGAATGCTCTTGGCACCTAGTGGGTAGAGGTTGGGGATTCTGTTCAACATGCTAAAGTGTAAATACTCCACGAAAGAACGATTCAGCCCCCATCCAGTGTAACCGAGATACCACGATGTTCAGAACCTTGCCCAGTGCCTGGCACATAGTAAAGGCTCAATAAACGCCCACTGACCGTCGAGGTTCTCTCTGCCTCTAAATCTTAAGCGAGTGGCCTGACTCAAGTGGTTCTGTCTATACCTGACCCCAGCAAGCTGAGCCTGGCTGCCTTGGGACGCAGAATTAGCCAGATATGTAGAGCATTTACTGGGTGCCAGGCCCTGTGCTGACAGCTTTACCTGTGTCCTCTCCCATAGCCCCTCAACAACTTGAGGTGTCCTGCTATTATGAATGCCATTTTAGAGGAAGAAACTGAGGTTCAGGGAGGTTCACAAGTCACCAAGCTAGAAAGTGGCTGTATTTAAACATAGGTCTATCTGCTCTTAAAGTATGGAACAGTGGCAGTGTGTATAGAAGGCTACGATTTTTCAGAAAAAGTAGGGGGCGTGTGCTTGTTTATGTATAAAATCCCTTTGGATGGGAACGGAGTAAACTGGCAACAATGGTTGTCTCTGGGAGAACTGGAAAGCTGGGAATAGGGGAAGACGACTTTTTGCTGTGTATTTGGAACCATATGAATGTACTGTCTATTCAAAATGTAAATGAAACTGACATTAAAGAGACTGTTTTCAACTACCCGTGTTTCCTGAAGTTACCTGGGTTCAAGGGCACCTGGCATACTTGTTAAAAATTACAGACTCCAGACACACCAGGGGAGGGAGGGGCATAGACGGCTGCATTTTGCAAGCTAATTTGGTGATCCTTGAGTTCAAGTAAGTTTAGGAAAGAAAACCTAAGACTACAGAGTCATGACCCAGAAGTTATTCCAGCCGGATCCCAGGTCTCTGCAGAAGCTGGGAGGTGGATCTCTTAGGGGAATGCATGGGAGGTGCCTTTGTCTTTTCTGAGGAGCAGAAGAGGGTTTCACATGGGCTCCTGGCTATTCCCTCCCTACTCGGTCCAGAGGAACATCTAGGGACAGGAGAAAAAGGAGGGTCCCCTTCCCCACCTGGCTCAAAAAGCTGCTGTTGTCCACGACCACTACGTGTGCACAGGACAAGAACTTAGGGCTACACCTGCCCTTGACCAACTTTCACTTCAGCCAGAGTACTTTATGTTTATAAAACCACTTTCTGTATTGGGTTTCTGGGACAGACAGAGCTCTCAAAGTCAAAGGCCCATGGGGTCCAGACAAGTAACAGATGAGGCTGGCTTGGTGTGAGACAAGAGGGAGCAGTGCGGACTGTGGCAAACATAGGTCCTGGGGAGGAGGGTGGCTGCGACTCAGCTGTTCTGTAAGGAGGTGGGCCCAGCACTGCTGCTGGCTCTTCCAGTTCTTTAAGCAAAGCCAGAATCCGCCCACTTAAGATTTCTGAGTGCGCCTAGGCGCTGAGCCAGGCTTCCTAGGTTCTAACTCTGGCCAATTACTTTACCTCCCTGGGCATCAATTTTGTTATCTGCAACATGGAGACAAACATTCCTGACAAAACGCACGACCTGACTGTAATAATGACAAAATATCAGAGAAACCAGACTGAGGCAACATTCTACAAAACCATAGGCCTGGACGCTTCGAAAATGTCAGTGTAACAGAGGGAAAAGGGAGGCTGTTCCAACTCAATGTAACGCGTGATCCTGGATGGAAAGGTCACTGCTGTTAGGGACACGCGTGGGGCAAACAAGAAAGCGAACATGAACGTTCTAGTAGGTGGTAGTATTGTATCAATGGCAAATCTGAATTTGATCACTGAATTGTGGTTATGCAGGGGAACGTCCTTGGTCTTAGGAGGAAGTACGTAGGCCTGAAGGGTCACAGCACCTGCAGCCAATGCACACGGCTCGGCGGAAACACAGCAGGCCTCGTCGTTAATCACGGTTTCGGTGTCTGCGAATGTGCCTGCTTGCAGAGGCTGAACAAGGAGACACTCTGCCTTCTTGTTTCATCTCACACTATCAACAAGTATCCTTTTCATGGTCTATTCGGTGCCATGTTTTTCATTTTGTGCTTTTTGTTAATTTCGCTGTTTAAAACGGCCCTCAAGCGTAGTGCTGAAGTGCCGTCTAGTGTTCCTGAGTGTGGGAAGGCTACGATGCGGCCTCCTGGAGAAAATGCCTGTGTCAGGTAGGTAAGCTTCATCAAGGATGAGTGACAGTTCTGTTGGCCCTGAGTTCAATGGTAATGGCTCAACACCATATATTAAATAAGGTGTCTTTCAACAGAAACATACATAGAACAGTTACGTATTGATCAGTTAACAAAAATATTGTGACCAGAGGCCCGCAGGAACGTCACTCCGTGTTTTCCGTAAGACTGGTAGTTCAGCATCCACTAATCCATGTGCACGGTGACTTTATAGAACTACCGTGAATAACAAGAACTGACTATATATTTCAGTTATTGTTCATGCGACTTTTCTGTGGATCTGAAATTTCTCAAAATGGTGAAAAACCAATTTGTTTAGAGGCTCACCTGACTGGGGCACCGAGAGACATAACACGAGGCAGCCCAGACCCAACAAATACAGACACGAGAGGTGTCCCTTATGAGTATATTTATGTGTTCACACACGCACACGCACACACTCGACGCTGAACTAGGGGGGCGGTCAAGACGGAAAAGACAGGAAGCATCCAGGTGGCATGGGGGAGGAGGGAAAGACAAAGGGAGCATTTGTCCCCGCTCTGGCTCCCACTGGTGGCCTCCTAATAGGAGGTGAACCTGGAGCTGGAAGAACAGGAAGTGCTTATTTTCTTAGAGGAAAGTTTCAAAGTGCAACAATTTCTCTTTAAAAAAAGAGCCTCTCCCCTCCACTCTCTGCCCCCTGACAAAAGCCGAGCCCCCTGCACAGGCTGTCCTTGAGGCTGGGGCAGGATGAGATCGTGGGGAAGGGCCTAAGGCCAAAGCGAGGATGTGCCCAGGCCCGGGAGGGCTTAGGCATAGTGGCTGCCGGGCGTCAGGGGGTGGTCCCCTCTGTGGTCCAGCTGGTCCTGCAAGCGGGCGAACTCGGCCAGCTCGTTGAGCTCCTGGAACTGTCGGTCCGTCTTATGGCTGACCAATGAGCGGTAGAAGTGGACGGCAAAGACGATGAAGACCAGGCCGAAGGGGACCATGATGGTGGTGGAGGCGATGGCGGCGGCCTGGCCCGGGGTGATGCCCCCAGTGCTGCCATTGTTGACGTTTGCGGCTGGGGGCTTGCTGGTAGGCCGCAGCTGGCCCGGCTGCTTCTTCAGAGGCAAGAACTTGACCCAGCAGAGCAGCACGACCTCAGCCAGGAAAAGCAACGTGCCGATGACAGTGGAGAAGGCCCAGGCCAGCTCGATGTGGCGGTGCATGCGCTCGTGGGGCGACTCCTTGACCGAGTTGAGGTTGTGCACGTTGCTCACGGCCTCGATGTTGGGCAGGATGCACGTGCTGATCATGAGCGCGAACAGGTGCACCGCCACCAGCACTGTCGTGCAGGCACTGAAGGCGATGAGCAGCCCTGGCGGGTAGTCGTGTTCGGCGTCCAGCTGCACCTCCACCATCGCCACCTGGGGGTTAGGGCAGAGTGGGCTGAGCACCAGGATGGTCACAGCTCACAGAGGCATTCCTCCTGTCAAGCTCTGGGACCCTGGGCAAGTCACTTGACCTCTCTGAGCCTCAGTTTCCACATCTGTATAATAGGATAACAAGACCCACCCGCTTTGGGGCTGAGAGGTGGCAGAAAGTACTGGTGGCAAAAGCAGGCTGCCTGGATTCGAATCCCAGTTCTGCTGCTCACTAGCAGCATGTCCTTGGGAAAGTCGAGGACTGAATCTCTCTGAGCCTCCACTTTCTTTTTTGTAAGATAGAGATATCATATTAATTCGTAAAGATTATTTTAACAACTAAACGAGAGCTCCTGGTACGTGGCAAACACCTCCCAAATAGTCACCACTGCTGTTACCACCCAGCCAGGAATTAAAAACCAACTGCCACAAATGGTTAAATGGTAAGTTTTATGTCCGTCTGACTACGATTAAAAAAAGGTTTGCATAAAAAAAAAAAAAAAAAAAAGCAAGCACCTACCAGTCCCCCTGTTGGCCCCAGGGTAGGGATGAAGGCCCTCCCAGGCCACGCCCAGGCCCTGTCTAAGAACACGGTATGCCAACCAACAAGGAACCACAGGACGCTTCCCAGAAGAGATGGTGGGACAGCCCTGGGGCCATTCCCTCCCCAGGCCCAGCTCTGGGCTCAGGGCCCCAGGGCTGACTTACTAGCTGCTCCCCAGTTCCTGGAGACCTGTAGATCCGGGGTCAGCAGGGGCATACTCCGGGCTCACCACCCGCTGCTTCTTACCTGGGCCTTGCAAATCACCCCCATATGAAGGAGCCAGCTCATCAGATCTGCGCCAGGAGCAGCGGGTGGCAGGCATACTGCCAGGGCCTGGGGCAGAGAGCAACGATGGCAATACCGTGAAGGACAGTGACCCTTCATTAAGTGCTCGCTATGTATGTACGTGCCAGGCTGCCCTGACCCCTCCAGACTCCTGGGGAGACGGAGGGCGGTAGGCTCCTTCCTTCCCCACCAACTCTCCTTTCGCCTGTAATGTCGGGCCCTGTTTGTTTTCATTTCTTGTTCCACTGCACCCTTCCTGTGGCCGGGAAAGGCTGTGTGGGGCAGTGGTTAGGAGCCAGGCAGCTTGCCTCTGAATCCTAACTCCTCTGCCCTTTATTAGACTATGTCTCTGGCCAGTCCCTCTAACTCTCTGGGCCTCAGTTTCCTTGTCTGTAAAATGGAAATAATGAGACATGGCTGACAGGATTTTTATGAGGATTAACTTAAGTTAATCCCAAGTAAAATACTGAGTGCCTGCCTGGCACAGAGTAAACCCTCAGTGAAAGTAAGCTTTATTATTACTAAGTTTAGAAACCTCATCCTCAAAGCTACTGTCTCTATGTGAAATCCTTTGAGGTTGGTTTCTAACCTCCTGGTGTAGGGGTAAGTACAATTTAGAGCTGACTTGCGGTCCGACACCTTTGAGACACTGGTGACAATAACAGATATCCTCAGAATACCCAGGAATAGTCATAAAACTTTTCAGACACTTTCAATGGGATTCACAGACTTTTGCTTTGGAATCCCTACAATTGATGATTCTATGAACTTTTTAGCCTAGGAGTTTACAAAATGTTTCAAGTTCATATAAATCTGGAGCAGTGTCATTAAGATTTTGACTGCTTTTAAGACCATTGGTGGCCTAATGTCAGCTCTGACAATTCTTAGTACATGCTGGTGAGGGACATGGGGCATCAGGGCAGGCCACCAGGGCACAGTGAATTAAAAGTCACATCCGGAAGCCCTGCGGTCTGTCCCCAGGGCTGCCTACACTGGAAAAGCGGGGCACGCATCCTCTAGTGGCGGGTGCCTCCTGCTACCTCCCCACCCCCAGTACTTCCTCTTCCTGTTTTGGCCTGTTGCCCCGGAACCTGAAACCGGAGAAGGGACAAACAGGAGAGCCTGCTGCTTGGCTGTCCCAGGTCCACTGGCTATTTATTCCCTCATTGGAAATGTCTGGACCCATTAGGTGTGTCAGGCCCAGAGCTGGGCACTGGGAGCAGAAGGGGGGTCATATACAGGTAACATTCTCAATCTGTAACCTTACCTGGTATCTCTCCCTCCGTGTAGCCTGAAGCGTGAATTAGCTCCTCTACTTACAAAGTTGGTAACCTTGGACAAGTATTTCAACTTCTCTGTGCTACAGCTTCTGCATCTATAAATTAAGGGCCTACTTCCTATTTTTATTTTATTTTTTCCCCAGAGGGCCTACTTCTTATAATTGTTCTGAGGATTCATGAATTAGCAAATATAAAGCCCTTAGGATAAGACCTGGTATATAATAAGCTTAATAAAGTGTCAATGATTATTAGTAACATCATTATTATTCTTTTACAAACTGAGGCTCAGAGAGGTAGGTCGGCTGTCCCAAGGGTCAGACTGCCCCTGAGCGGGAGATCTGAACTCAAGTCCACTTGGCCCTGAAGCCCGTGTGCAAAGGGGGTAACAGGACAGCTTCCCTCACATGGTTGCTATTATAGACTGAATGTTCGTGTTCCCTCTAAATTCATACTTTGCAACCTTAACCCCTGATGTGATGGTGTTAGGAGGTGGGGCTTCTGGGAGGTGATTAGGTCACGAGGGTGGAGACCCCATGACAGGACTAGCGCCCTTATGAAAAAGACCCCACAGAGCTCCCTTGCCTCCCAACCATGTGAGGACAATGCTGTCCATCAGCCAGGAAGCTGGCCTTTGCCAGATATCTAATCTCCGGGCACCCTGATCTTGGACTTCCGGCCTCCAGAATTGTGAGAAATAAATGTTTATAAGCCGCCAGTCTGTGGTGTTCTGTTATAAAAGCCCAGATGGAATAAGACATTAAATGAGGTCCTGATATGATATTGTTTAATACAGGGCCAGCCCACAGGAGGTGCTCAATAAATCTTAGTTGAAAATGAAAACACAGGGCTTGAAGTGGAAGAGAAATAGCTCCTGGACACCCTGAGCTCAGGCTAACGAGAGCTGACCCCATGTTTCCATGTTCTACCTTTCGGGGTGGGAGAAAGACCAGACCCCCACTCTGGGCCCTCAACCACATCTGGCCAGATGGCCACATCAGCATGACAGAGACTACCCTTTCCACACCATTCGTCACACCCATAGGCTCCAGGGTCAGAAGCAGCTGTTGGGACACACCTGGTCTGGGGCCACCAGAACTGGCCAGCCCTCCCCCAGCTCTTGGGCTGGGGAGAAGCTGGGTGGCTCAGTCTGCACACTTAGCTAAGGAAGAGGAAGGGGCCTGCTGCTATGCTCCGGAAGAAACCCCATCGCCCTCGCCGGACCCTACAATTCCTGGAACTTCGACCATGCAGACTGGCTGTGTGTACTGTTCCCACATTAAAGACCAAGTTCAGAGCCATGGGGCTCTGAAAGAACAGCTGGCACAAACCATGGATCCTGATGAAAACTGTTCGCAGGAATAGAGGCCGCTGCCTTTTCCAGAAAGCTTCCTGCTTGGGAAATCTCCCCATGGGTAGGGAGAGTAAAGTCAGGGGGAACTCGTGGAATCTGGCAGGCGACTCAGGGCCCCTAGCTGAGTCCCAGAGAGATCAGATCAGATCAGATTGCAAGCAGCTTCACAAGGTAAATATAGCTGGAGAACATTAGTTAACCCAAAATAAACAGCTCCCAGCCAGCCACGGGCCTGCTTGAACCTGGCCACGGGAGTCCCAAAGGGGTAGAAAAGGCGAGAGACCACTAGCCCCACTCACACTGGTCCATTAGCCCACAGGGGATGCTGGGATGCCAATTTTCAAGCATGAGCCAAGAGGACTGTGTAATTCTGAAAGGTGGGGCCTGGCTGGCTTTGCAAGGTGTCTTCCTACTGCGCCTGAATGCCAGCCACCTCTCCTCACTCCTGCTGGGCTCCACGGAGACCCTGGCCTCTTGGCACCTGAAAGTCCAGGTCCTTCTGAGGCAGACTCCTTATACTTGGCCCGACCCCAGCGCCAACAGCTGGGAGACACAACTGTCCTTTCCCAAGCCTGGGCTTCTTTTTGAGGAGGATGGGTGGCTGCAGCCTAGAATAGGAGGGCCGCCAAGCCACAGTCACCCGGGGTCACCCAGAGCTGTCTGAGCCTGCCGGCCCCACCTCAGATGCAAACCATCTATTAAGAAAGGACTGAGGCCTAGTCCAGCAGGTTATAAACTCTTTTGACCACTACAGTCCAGTACTCCAAAGGTTTCTATAAATAGATACACATTTATAACAGAAATAAAAGTTCTACTAAACAATACTTAAAAGCAAGAACATGGTCTATTCTTACAATATGCAATGCACGGCACTTTCTATTTCGTTCCATTCTCATTCCACTAAAAAAAATGTTGGTTGCAACTCACTAAATACATGTTACAAGCCACTAATCGGTTGAACCTGCAGATTGGGGTGGGGACGGCGGGGAGAACAGGCCTAGACTTTCCCTTCATCTGGCGAATTCCGACTTTTTTAGGTTTTACCTTCCAAGTCATTCATTCTACGACCTCCCAGGTGAGGACGGGGCCGTTCATTCATTCACGGAAAATATTTATTGAGAAACGACTATGTGCTTGGAGGATCTTGTGGCTCTGCTGGAGAAAAAGCAGGAATTAAGACAGCCAACTCCCTGCCCCAGGGAAGATGACAGGCACCGAACATTTAGGCAAATAAGTGTTTTCTGGCCGTGATAAGTGTCCTTCAATCAATGCTCCTCCACCGCCGCACTAACCGCACTGTCTGAAGATGGAATGACACATCCTGCTCACTCCACTCCATTTCTTTTTCTCCAGCACTCAGTGTAGGGGCCTCCGTAAAAGAATATGGAAGGAATAGTGTCCGACAGACAATCCTATGTGATCTGCTGGAAGTCAGAAGACCACATTAGAACTTCTGATGGCATTCATTTGTTACTTAGCTCATCCTTTCGACTTTTCGATATTGTATTTTTATGTACGTTTTAATACACATGGTGTTTTATTA